TTGACCAGGATGGTCTCGATCTGTTGACCTCGTGATCCACCCGCCTCGGCCTCCCAAAGTGCTGGGATTACAGGCGTGAGCCACCGCACCCGGCCCTTGGTTTCACGTTTTAAATCCTCCTCAGGTGTGTCCAGTTCTCTCCACAGGCCCCACCCTTTTGCCGTAGACTTTTCGTCTATCTCCCTGCATCTGCTTTGGGTCCTGCCCTCCAAACTGCAGCCAGAATAAGGTTGTTAAAATGCAACCTTCATTGTGTTATGCTCTTTCTGTAATTTTTTTTTTTTTTTTTTTTAATTTTCCATTGGTCTTATCCTTAACAGGGCCTTCAAGGCTCTGCCAGGCTGGTCCAGCCTCTTGTACCCCGTCTCCCGCAGATTCCCTACTCTGGTCTGACTGCTCTGCATTCTTCTCGTGTCCTGCGCCTTTTACCTGTTCCCTACCTGCTGAGGGAATTGTTACTCTTCCTGCAGTTCTCCATTAGGTTATCCTTTCCTCAGGGAGATATTCTCTGGCCTCCCTGACTAGGTCAGGTTCCGTTTTATGGGTTCTAATCAACATTTTCTTTCCTTCTTAGCTCTGTCATAGTTGCAATTTTATGCATATATACCTGGCACACAGTAGATAATTCACATATTTGCCAAAAAAGTGATAGTGTGGCTGCCCGAGTGCCTCTATCTAGACGTTATTCCCTTTGGGAGTTTGCATGGTATGCAGGGGCACTGTCTACCCATGTCCTGTTACTCTGTTGGCTGTCTCAGGCAGGGCAAGAAAAATGGATGGAGGGCCTGGGGAGCACAGTTTGCAGACTCTTGAAAGGTAGGATGGGTTTCTGCTGAGCTTCTTACCTATGTATCCCCCTCGGACTTGGTTGAGTTCACTGTATTAGACTGTATTAGACTCTTCACTGACAGATATTCCTATGTGTGGTTTCAGAGACTCTTTCAGGAGTATATTTTAGGGTCAATCATATATCAAGAGTTTCTGGTTCTTTTCTAAATAGTTTTCTCAAAGCCAAATAGTAAAGATGAAAATGAAAGTCTGCTGCAGATTGAGATGGATGGGGTGCCCTGGAGTGTGGCCATCTGGCTCTGTGGCATGATTCGTTTGGTTCAGGAAGTATTTATTGAGGGCCTACTGCATGCCAGATGCCACGTTGCCTTCTGGAGATACAGAGGTGGGGTCAACTTGAAGGTGGATTATTTATTTTGGTCTATTGTGGTGAAAGCTGTGGTAAGAGGAAGACTTGATTGGAAGCTTCATGGATGGAGAAGGACATTGTAGGGAATCCCACAGGCAGGGAATAGCATCCCAGGCAGAAGGCACAGCACACAAGAAGAAAGCAAAGCTGTCAGGCCAGGTTAGGGAACCTGAGAGAGACAGGTTACAAGAAGAGGCTGGGCCAGCCCTCAGGAGTGGTCTGAGCCTAGGCGGGACTGTGTGGGGATAAGGCTGGGGACCATGCTGTGAATGACTTTAATTTTATTTCAGAGCTTGGTTGGATTGTGACCCAGGGCAAGTTCTTGGTAGGTTCTGAGGATGGGCATAAGCCTCCAAATGGTTGGAGGCTGTCATTCTGGATGTTGGTAAGTGGATGGGGCCAGCCTGAAGCACAATGGAGGAACAGGTGGTAAGCTGCTGAGAAATGAAGCAACTGTGAAATGGTAACACAAGTCAGGCTTCTTGACCCAAACCTGGCTGGAACTGGGGAAGAAGTCGGAATGTTTGAGTGTTATCAGTCATATGGACATACCCCTTAATCAAACAGAATTTCTGCAGCAAAATGTATAGATATTTATAGTAACAAAATTAGACATTATGAAGAGCCTCACCTCAGTCCAAGTTTGGCTGCCGAAGTTTGTTGCAAAGTTTTGAAAGAAAGTTCAGTTTTGAAGGCATATTTGGCTTTTGGAATTGCAGGTGAGGGGGTCGCGGACCTGAAATTACAGTTAATACTTGAGAAGCCAGGCCTAGTGTGTCTGCTTTACACACATTGACTCTTATTGTTTTCACAGTGCAATGAGGGTAGGTACCATATGATGATCCCATTTTACAGGTTGAAGACAGGGCACCGGGAAGTTTCTTTGGTAAGTGACTTTCCAGAATCACACAGCTCGTCACTGGTGGCTCCATATTATACATTTTTCCTGGGCTACAGACTTGTAAAAGGGGTTTGGGAGAGATTGAGGGACTGATGTCTTTCTTCTGCACTTCACACACCTGGCATCTGCCTGCAGCAAGCCTGCATTAGTGCCAAGAAGGTGAGAAGAGAAGGGAAGCTGGAGCCCCATAGACATTACAGTCACACTTGGATTTACTGAAGGCCCATGGGGACTCATGTCCAGGATTACTGGATCTAATCAGGTGATGAGCTTTTCACACAAGCCATAGAGGAAGTTAAGTGTGATGTCACGTGGACCAGAGGTGGTCAGAGGCCCTGTGTATGGAGAAGATGGGATGCAGGCTGGTTGGACTTTGAAGACATTCAGATAAGCAACTTTATAAGGCTTTTATAAAGAGATTCTTTATAAGGGACGCAGACTGGTACATGGGGAGATGACCTAATTTTCTCCTAGCTGTGCAAAATGTGTGTGTTCTGGAACATCACAGATGAACGTCTTTTGCTTGACTCCCTCATCACTGCAGAGCAGCATTTCCATCAGGCACCGACTGGCTCAATGGGAGAGTATTTGTTCAGGTGTTTCTTTGCAAGTGTCCCTATGCCTGTGTGTGTTTGTATGAGTGTGTGAGATATACATACCAAAGTATATCAAATGCACAGGAACAGTTTAAAGAATAATGAACAACTCTGAATATTCTACTCAGTTTAGGAAATTGTGTAGGGCTGAGGGCCCCACAGGGTCGTGGGGTGAGCCTTATGCTGTGCTGAGGAGCAGGATCCAAGACATAAAGAGACAGGACACAGAAGTACAAGGAAAACACAGCTGGGCTCAGGGGGCTACGCCACCTATAAGCGGAGTTAGGCGAGGCCCCGAATGTCCAGAAGCATCAGTATTTATTGTGTATAGGTTAGGGGGCAGGGCAGTGAGTGAAATCATCTTTAAGGATAGTGATAGGGTCGTGAGCAATAAAGCAAGGAGTCCACCCCCATTAGGTCATCTAGGCCAGGAGGTGGACAGTGTGCAGCAAGGGACCTGTTCCCATGAAGGCAAGGGCCGTGTGCAGTAAGGGGTCCACCCACTTTAGGTCACCGAGGCTTGAAGGTGGGCCGTGCACAGTGAAGAGGGTGCAGTGTGCAATTCTTCTATGGGCAAACTACTTCTAAGAAGATTTATAGGAGGATACTTTAAGTCACATAGCAGTGACAGAGCTGTCAGGATTACCGCCATCTTCTGGCAGCTTCCAATGTGTTCTATGGGAAGATGCTTTTCAAGTAGCACAGCAGCAAGAGCTGATAAAGTTCACAGTCACCAAGGTGGATTGCCGGTCTGAGGGCAGCCTCCCACAAGAACTGGAGCGGGGTCCTACAACTCCTTTATCAGGAGGAGTAGCTCTCGCCCCAGGCCTGCCACACAGCGGGTATCTTTATGATACTGAATGCTGCCGCCTGGGCCATGGATTCTTGTCCTGGTATAACTGTTTTCCCTTAAATCATGCTCTGCACTGTGTCTGCTCCAGACATTCCTCTGATTATAAGCTGCTTATTCCTTAATTCATGCTCTGCACTGTGTCCACTCTAGGCGTTCCTCCGATTGTGAACTAAGAATAATTATATATATATGTAGGGAAATATTCTTTAGGCACTCATACTATTAACTATTACATGATTATATATAGAGGATTATATAAAGGAATTCTTCAAACCCTAATTCTATAAACTAATATATGATTGTATAAAGGATTATATAAAAGGAAATTGCTGAGTAGTAACACTGTTAAGTGAGATACTCCTCAAGCCCTAACTGTGCCAGGGTTCTGCTTAGCTCTCATTCCTTGGTGTCTATATGGGGAGTTATCCACAAACTGAACTTTATCAAAACTTTTATTTCCATAAGTTTTTGGGGAACAGGTAGTATTTGGTTACATGAGTAAGTTCTTTAGTTATTTGTGAGATTTTGGTTCACCCATCACCCAAGCAGTATATACTGAACCCAATTTGTAGGCTTTTATTCCTCACACCTTTCCCATCCTTTCCCCTGGAGTCCCCGAAGTCCATTGTATCATTCTGATGCCTTTGCCTCCTCATAGCGTAGCTCTGACTTATGAGCGAGAACATATGATGTTTGGTTTTTCATTCCTGAGTTACTTCACTTAGAATAATGGTCTTCAGTCACATCCAGATTGCTGTGCCACTAACTGATTCATTTTTATGGTGGACTAGTATTCCATCGTATGTTTATACCACAGTTTCTTTATCCACTCGTTGCTTGATGGGCATTTGGGCCGGTTCCATATTTTTGAATTGCGCTGCTACAAACATGCTTGTGCAAGTGTGTTTTCTCATATAATGACTTCTTTTCCTCTGTGTAGATACAGATTGCCGGATCAAATGGTAGTTCTCCTTTTAGTGCTTTAAGGAATCTCCCCACTGTGTTCCATAGTGGTTATACTAGTTTACATCCCCACCAGCAGTGTAGAAGTGTTCCCCTTTCACTGCCTCCATGCCAACATCTGTCATTTTCTGATTTCTCTGATGATGGCCATTCCTGGGAGAGTAAGATGGTACTGCATTGTGCTTTTGATTTGCATTTCCCTGATGATTAGTGACATTGAGCATGTTTTTCATATGTTTGTTGGCCATTTGTATGTATTCTTTTGAGAATTGTCCTTAGCCCACTTTTTGATGAGATTGTTCGTTTTCTTCTTGCTAATATGTTTCGGTTTATTGTAGATTCTGGATAGTCCTTTTTCGCTTTATATATTTTGAACTGATTAGGTAGATGTAATTTAAAATTACTATATTTTCCTGGTTAGGCAAATCTTTTCTCACTGTAAAGTGACCCTCTTTCTCTGATTTTTTATTTTAATTTATTTTACTTTATATTTTTAATAGTAAAAAACATACAATTTACCATTTTAACCATTTAAGTATACAATTCAGTAATACTAAGGATATTCACATTGTTGTCTAGCCAATCTCCAGAACTTTTTTATCTTGCAAAACGAAAAGTATACCCATTAAAACATTGTTGCCCCATTTCTCCTCCACAGCTTCTGTTAATCTGCATTCTACTTTCTGTTTCTCTCAGTTTGACTACTTTAATTACCTCATATAAGTGGAATCAAACAATGTTTCTCTTTTGTAATTGGCTTATTTTATTTAGTATAATATCCTCAAGGTTTATTTTTGTTGTAGCTTATGACAAGATTTCCTTCACCAGAAGGCTGAATAATATCCCATTGCATCTATCAATTCCATTCATTCATCAGTTGACACTTGGAGTTGCTTCGATCTCTTGGCTATTGTGAATAGTGCTGCTTTGAAAATGCACTATAGGCCAAGTACAGTGGCTCATGCCTGTAATCCCAGTATTTTGGGAGGCTGAGGTGGGCAGATCACAAGGTTAGGAGATCGAGACCATCCTGGCCAACATGGTGAAACCTGTCTCTACTAAAAATACAAAAAATTAGCCGAGCATGGTGGTGAGTGTCTGTAGTCCCAGCTACTTGGGAGGCTGAGGTAGGAGAATGGCTTGAACCCAAGAAGTGGAGGTTGCGGTGAGCTGAAATCATGCCACTGCATTCCACCCTAGGCGACAGAGTGAGACTCTGTCTCAAAAAAAAAAAAAAAAAAAAAGAAAGAAGAAAAAATGCACTACAGACATACAGTTCTGAGTTCCTGCTTTCAGATCTTTTGTTCAGCATAGTATTGGAAGTCTTAGCTAGATCAGTTACTAAGAAAAATAAGTAAAAGCCATTCAAATTCGAAAGCGGTAAGTACAACTATCTCTTTGCAGATGACATGATCTCATATGTAGGAAACGATAAAGATTCCAAAAAACAGCAGAACTGCAGCAATTTGTATTTGCAGCAGAATTACAGCAAATTGTATTTGCTGAATACAGCACGGTTGCAGGATACAAAATAAATACACAAAAATCAGTTGCAGCTAGGCAGATTACTTGAGTCCAAGTGTTTGAGACCAGCCTGGCCAACATAGAGAAGCCCCATTTCTACTAAAAATAGAAAAATTAGCTGGACATAGTGACATGTACCTGTAGTCCCAGCTACTTAGGCAGCTGAGGTGGGAGGATCACCTGAGCCTGGAGAGTTGAGGCTGCAGTGAGCCATGAATGTGAAGCAGGATCGCTGAGGTTCATTGTCCCACACTAAGGAAAGTGAAGACGTGGTTGCACAAGGTGTGCGTTTAAGAGTGGAAAGTTTAATAGGCGAGAGAAACAGGAAGAAAGCTCCCCTGTGTAGAGGGAGGGGTTTCTAAACGTCTCCCTGTTCACAGTGTGATGCATTTGATTTTATAGAGGGGCTTCAGGAGGTGGTGACTAATTTACATAGGGCCTAGTGGATTGGTTGGACCAGGTGTGCCACTTAGCCTGCAAAGAGGCTGGCCATCTCACCCTAATCTTTTATCATGCAGATGGGGTCTCTACCTGGCTGGTGCCATGACACTCACACCCATGGCAACAAAGAGAAGGGCGAAGAAGACCTCCATGTTTGATATACTTGTCTTCTGGCACACCTGCTGACATTCACCTATGCAAGCTTACAGCTGGCTTATGTATGCTTGCAGATTGATTTTTCAGGCTGCTTTTTGTTAGAAAATAAAGGATTTTGGGGTTGCTTTTTATTAAAAGAAAAACTTTACTGAGTACATCTGTACCCTCACTAACTGTCTAAATAATTTCTTTTTAAATCTTATATCAGTTGTGCCACTGCACTCAAGGCTGGTCAGCAGAGTGAGAGCCTGTCTTAAGAAAAAGAAAAAAATGTAAAAAAAAAATCTCAGAAACATAGAAATTACCACACTTTTTCCATAGTGGGTGCATTATTTTATCAGCCTATAAACGGTGTACAAGGGTTCCAGTTTTTTACATTCTTGCTGATGCTTATCATTTTCTATTTTTTTTTATGGTGGCCACGTTAATGGGTGTAATGTGATATCTTATGGTTTTGATTTGTATTTCCCTTAGGAGTATGACTTTTAAAACTTTTCTTAGGTAATTTAGTTTTTATTCCTATTTGTTGTATTTGGTTCTTTTAAGTGTGCCTGACCTTTTTTTCATTTGAGATTTTGTTTCTTGTTCATTTGTTTCTTACAACATATTAAACATATATATTTTGTATTCTATTTATGATAATTATGACATCTATAGTCTGTGGGTCTGATTATGCTGCCCATTGTTTCTGTTGACTTCCATTCATGGTACTTTATTTCCTTGTTTACGTTATGACTTTTATTTTTTTTTTCAGAATGTGAATTCATCTTTGGAACTGTAATCGGTGGGGTTCTTCAATGTTTTTGTTGGGGATGTATTCCTCCAGAGAGGTTTTATCTGTTTTCACTATTCCTGGGGCAACACTGTTAATGAAGAGCACTTTGGGTTAAAATTTTTATTTGTGGTTATTGACCCCATTAGGCAGTATCAATTGACCTCATAAACCTTCATAGTTACAAATTCTTAGGAGATACTCCCTCCCCGACTTTTATCCAGTGGTATGATTAATTCAGGCATGTTTATTTTCTGGCCTCTTCTTCAGAGTTGGGTTACTTTTGATGCATGCTTACCTTTCTGGTGCAGCCCTTGAGTAGGCCCTTTGTGCAGGCCTATTTTTCTAGCCCTTTGTACCGGCCTGACTTCAGTTTTCTCTAGTTTTTGTACTCCATGTAGTTGAGAATAGGAGGCTTAATGTCACCACAATTTATGAGAACTCCTCAGGGTGAAAGCTAGCTGAAGACTCCCTTGCTCCTTAGGGCTCCTTGATTGATTTTGCTTTTTGACCCAGTGAGATTCCATATTTTCTTATCAGGTCAGTGCAGCATTTTAAATTTTATCTAGCTCTTTAAGTTTTCATCAGGAGAGTTTTTTGGCATCTGTGGTCTGCCATACTGCTGGAAATGGAATTTAGGCATCTCATTTGATGGGTGTCTTTTCTACTTCCCCTTACTCCTGCCACCTTGAGGCAGGAGCGAGTGTCCCAAAGGAGTGGAGGTCACTGATTGCGGGAGCTACATGTTCTCTTGTCTTCTGTGTCTACAGAACCCAGACCAGGATCGATTTCACAGGACGTGCCAGCCACTGTTACTGCCTGACCACAGAAGCTTGAGAGTGAACCTACAGAGACTAGAAATTGGGTAGTTGGAGAGAGGAAGGTAGAATAACATCAGGGAGGGAAAAATATTTGTCATCCTTTCTGGAGGGCTAAGGGGGTATAGGAGGAGTGTTTGAGCAAGATTGATTGTATGTATGCATGCATAAGTCTCAGAATTGGCTGCAAAGGGGCAGATGGAATCAGAATTTGCTGAGTGTGGTTTGTTTTTATGGGTTCATAGGTAGACGATGCAGTGAACTTCCTGGCAGGCTGACAGGGTAGAAGTTCATTGGAGAGATTGGGCTTAAAGCCTGCCTGAGAGAGCATGGGGAGTCTGTGGATTAGTCCCTTGGTGAGGGCTCTGGCCACACAACATTGAAGTTGTATTTTAAGATTACCAGGACAACCAGTTGGTGATGGGGTCATTTGGGCCATGGTGTGTGTGTAGGGTACTAAACCACTCCTGATACTCTTTTTCATGGCCACATAGCATTTTCACTTTATCACTGTTTATGTGCCTTGTGATTTGGGAGCTGTTGGTTTGCCCCTGAGAGCAGCTCACTGAGCATCCATTCACCTCCTCCCGGTGAATGGAGGAGAAGAGACTAGAGGCATTAGTGTTCCACTGCTCTGTCCCTGTTATGGGAGGAAATGGATTTGAGGAGCTACTTTACTGAGTATTTTTGCACTCAAGGCCCTGGACTCTGTAGTTGAGTCGTAAGGATAGGGGCAATTGGCCCTTTGGTGATACATGCCTGGAACAGGTTCAGCTAGGGGATGGCAGAGGGGACAGATCCCCTGGTATGTCTAATATATTGGAGAAGATTAGGAAGCAGAACTGGGGAAGATTAGGAAGATGATGCTGAGGGTTTTATTTTAGGCTTCAAGAAAGGCTTTTGGATTCTCATAGAAAAAAAAAAATCACCTCTCAAGGCCTCTCCTGAGGGCAGTTGCCCAGCTCTTGTGTTTACTGGACTCTGTAAGCAAGCACTGTGTGTATATACGCTGGAGATCAGACCCAGCTACTATGTAAGTGTTGGGTATACCATTGTGATCAGACTCAGCCTCCCAGCAAGTGTGCTTTGGGTATACAGTGGAGCTCAGACCCAGACTAGAACAGATAGTATTCATGCAATGGTCTCACAAACAGCACGGAAGGACAGCGGCCTATGAAGGGCATGCTGTGAGTAGCTGACAGAGGCGGTCTTGGCTCAGTCGTCGGGAATTGGTCAGAAACGGTGTGACTGAGCTGACTTCAGGGCCAGGTGGAGCCTCATTTGGTCGGCAGTGACGGAGGAATTAAAATGAATTTTAGGCAAGTAAGGCCACATTTGCTTGAATAGTGTTTATACTTGTTCTTTGTACTTGGGCATTTTAATAGAAGGGTTACATATGCCTATGTCAAGACACCATGAATGCTATAGCTAGAGATACAAAAGGACCTGAGTGTGTTGCATTGATGATGACTTGTATCACAAACACTGATACTATTGGTGATATAATTTTTCAAAATGGTGAACAAGTGTTGGTAAAGTTCTGATAAAAAGATTTTCATTTTCTCTACTATTAGTGTGTTTACTATACTATATTAAAATTGTGCAAAAGATGTTTTATGTTTATATGAATCTGAGTTTGGTTCTAAGCCCAAGTTAAATCATTGCCCATAGGTTTTGGCAGGACGGATGGAAGTCCCTGTGAGGGTATGAGACAGGTGTCGTTTGCGGGACTGACCCGCACATTGTGGGACTGCTGTAACCCTTTTCACCTCTTCTCCCATTGTGACAACCAACCTTCTCCCTCAACAAATTTTAAAGCACCTTCTGGGTGCTCTACTTCCTCCTTCCACTAACTGCTGCTGTTCTGGGTGTAGCAGGGAGACAAGGATATGACCCCAGGTGGGAGAGCTATTGGAGATGTGCAGAGAACGGTTGTCGGTCTGTTATTGCTTTTGTAAAAGTGGCCCATAGTGAGTTGTCTAGACAAATCACAATGCATACGAAGTTTAATATCTTAAAATGAGAAATTAACTGGCCAGGTGGTTTGCCAGCAGTCATCACCATTTTGAAAATATTGGCATGGAGTCCCTATGGTGCTGAGATATTTTCGTCGCCTGAATCCTTGTGGAAACTCCCATCATCACTGTGTGCATGTGCAAATCCCCCTACTCCTATAATTAATTTCTGTGAGCTCTGCGGATAAACAGGGATGCCTCCTGGCTTCTGTTTGCATTTCCCTTAGCAGTACTGCATTCTGTCAGCTTATTGACAGGGCCAAGGTGACTGGTTTTCCATTAATCAAAATTACTAAAGTGTGACTGGAAAACGAAGTAGATGCCCTTGGAGACTAACACCTTCTAAGTCTGTTGTGATTTTGTTCTGCATTGCTGGGCAAGTCACTTTTTCCATGCCTTAGCTTCCTCAGTGGTTAAGTGGGGGTTACTACAACCTCAAGAAGTTGTGAAGGGAATTAAATGCATTGCCATCAGTAAAAATGTTTAGCACATTTGCCATAATTGATGCAGATTTTTAAAAATATGGAACACTTATGAATTTGTGTGTCATCCTTGTCGACCGGCCATGCTAATCTTCTCAGTATTGGTCCAGTTTTAGTGTATGTGCTGCCAAAGTGAGCACTCAGATTTGTTTAAAAAGAACTAACAGATCTGGTTGGCCTTCCACTCCCACCCACCACCCCATCTCATCTCCCACTTTCCCACTCCAGTTTCCCTCCCTCCCCTGTGGTTACCCCTTCTGTGAAGAGCTGGCGTGTAGCCTTCCAGTTCCAGTTTTATACTCCTGCACTGCACATAGTATCTATCAACAACACAAGAGAATTGCTTTGTGGGTAAGTGGCAGTCTACACTTTCTCTCTGCAGCTTTGTTTCATTAAGTGTTGTTTTCAAGATCTGTATGCTGTCTAGGTAGTTCATTTTTAAAAACTTCCATATAACATAGTTATATTCATTTCCCAGTTGGTTGTCTTTTATGTTTTTCTGACGCGTTGCTGTTATGGACAGTGCAGTAGGGTGTTCTACTGGCATCCACTGTAGAAGACAGGGATGCCGTTAATACCCTGAAATGCAGTGGAAAGCCTCCTACCACCCCACAGGCAGACTCATCTAGCCCCAAATGTCATTAGTTCTGACAATGAGAACTCCTCTGTTTTAGAATGTATTTTGGTGTGAGTTGTGAGATGAGGGAGCTTACTCTTTTTCCCTCTGAAGAACCAATCGACCCAGACACTATTAAGGTAGTGAATCTTAAGGCAGAGATATTTTTCACTTAAATGGTAGAGAAGATTCTATTGCCTTGCTTGTTAAGATATAACTTTTTAAAATTGGCTTTGCTTGTCTTACAGATTCTTAGACTTTGTGAATAAAGACAGCTGCATCTTCCCAGTTCATCATGGCTTCAACATCCAGGTAGGAGTGCCGTTTGATCAAATGTTTTATCGAAGAATTTATTCCCCTGTGTTTTTGAAAGGCTGGGAAGTTTAAAGAAAGAAGGGAGAGGAGATGGGAGAATAATGGGAAAGATGGGAAAAGGCAGATGGTTGTGTGTATGGATGTGGTCATGTAGCACTGATGTTTACACTTGACAGAAAACCGTGGCTTCACTTTCCTCATCTTTCAAGATAAAGACACCAGATGGTTATCCCTGGGGCCACGTCAGTCCCTGCAGGCTTTCTTACGCGCGGGGTTTGAACAATCATGTGCACAAGTTATTTGAGGGTCCAGGGGTGAGGAGGAGCTTGGGCAGTCAAATTGGTAGAGACCCTGGCCTTGCAGCCTGGGATCTGCCCCTGTGAACTGGGCGAGGCTAGGTCAGAGAGAGTGTGAAGATGGCTGCTGCCCCCTGAGAACTTTACTCCAGGGCCCATGGGAAGGGCTTTGAATTTCCTTTCCCTTCAAACTGGCCTCTTGTCCTGGCCCATGCAGAGCTTGAATGAGTGAATACCTCACCTCCCCAGAGGTCAGCATTGCAGCTGGCAGTCAGTCTTCTGTGGTAAATCCTGCATCTTTCCTTTGGGATGGAAGGTCCTCACATAGAGGTTGGGGCCTGCAAAGGGGCACAGAGCAGCAGCAGGCACCTCTGTGCCTACCCTCCCTGCTGAGTCCATTCTCACAGCCAGGATGATGCATTGACAGCTGAGATATGACTCCTTACTGCCCTGTTCCATTACTCTGGGACTACGTGTGGCAGCTGAACACTGGAAGTCCTGGCCAGGGCCTGCGGAGTCCTGTGGGGCCAGGTTCCCTCTGGCTCTGCTCTGCTCTGGTCTCCTGTCCTCATTGACCTCCTTGCTGTTCTGCAGATGTCAAGTCCCTTCAGTGTCAGGGCCGTGTGCCTGTGGTTCTTTCTCTCTGCCTGGGATATCTTGTCTCCAGCTGTCTGCAGGGTTCAATCTCTCACCTCTTTCAGGCCCCCCACCCTGTGAGCCTTCTCTCACCATTCTGTCCAAAATAGCACCCCTAGCTCTACCACTTTGTTGCATTCTGTCCCTTATCCGGGATGGCATTCATTGCTACCTGACATCATTGTAGCTACTTGTTGATTTGTTGTCTGACTCCCCCAATTAGAACTAAAATGCTATGCAGGTTGGGCGTGGAGTTTGCCCATCACCAGCCCCTGGGCAGCACCTGTTCACTGTGCTCAAATCCAAGTACAGAGAGTCTCCCATTTAACATGGTTCAACTTCGGATGGTATAAAAGCCATATACATTTCTGTAGAAACTGTACTTTCAGTACCCGTGCAGCCTCTCTGTTTTAACTTTCAGTATCGTATTCAATAAATTATATCAGCTATGTAATACTTTATTAAATTATAGGCTTTGTGTTGATGACTTTTCCCAACTATAGGCTAATGTAAGTGATCTGAACACGTTTAAGATAGGCTGGGGTAAGCTATGATGTTTGCTAGGTTAGGTGTATTAAATGCATTTCTGACTTAAGACATTTTTAACTCATGATGAGTTTATCGGGATGTAACCTGATTGTAAGTTGAGGAGCACTTATATCACTTACCATCCATTTGGTGCCTATGTCCACAGGGCAAGAGAGTGGCAGGAGTTTCCATGTTTTCCAAGTTGATGTGGCTTCTGATTGCGGTTAGCATGCAGTATGATAGCTATCCAAAAATCCAGATCTGCTCAGTTCTTGAATTTGGGTAGTGAGAGTTCAAATAGGGAAAGTTTGAGAATTTGGGGAATAAGGAAAACTTCTGTTTGTCAGTTAAGAGAGGGAAGGTATAGTAAGACAAATGTAATGGCAGAGCTCCTAGGACCATAAGCCTGAGGGGACAGCAGTGGGTGTCACTCCAGCTGACCAGGACTCCCTGTTGGCAGTTTCTGTTATCTGGAGTGATGGCAGCATCTGGATTCATCACTAAAGGGGATCCTCTGTCTTAGAACACATTATTTAAGAAGGAAAGGAATTAGGTAACACCTCTTTAGTCTGTCTCCCATCATTAAAATACTTCTGCACTTAAAAGCATAATCTGTGTTTATCTGGAAAATTTACTTACTAATTGCTATTCCTTGTGTGAGATCTGTGAAGCCATTCAGATGAAAATATTTTATAGTGGTTGCATCCTGCTCTTTTGTGCTGAAGCATTGGCTTTCTGGCATGGCCTCTTCCTGATTCTGTTGCCTGTCATTACAGAGATGTCATTACTGGGAGAGGTACCCACTCAAAGGTGAAGTCTGCAAAGCTACTTGAGGTTCTGAATGCTATGGAGGAGGAAGAGTTCAGCAACAACAGGGAAGAGATTTTCATTGCACCTCCTGACAATGCTTCAGGGGAATTTACTGATGAGGACTCAGGTGATGAAGACAGCCAGCGAGGTGCTCACCTTCCTGGCAGTGTGCTGCATGCTTCAGTCCTGTGTGAGGACTCTGCCACCGGGGAGGATAATGATGACCTGGAGCTGCAGCCGGCCAAGAAGAGGCAGAAAGCAGTTGTGAAGCCTCAGCGTGTTTGGACCAAAAGAGATATTCGTCCAGACTTTGGAAGTTGGATGGCATCAGATCCTCATATTGAGGATCTGAAAAGCCAAGAACTGAGTCCTGTGGGCCTTTTTGAGTTGTTTTTTGATGAAGGAACAATTAATTTCATTGTTAATGAAACCAATCGTTACGCTTGGCAGAAAAATGTCAATCTGAGTCTTACAACTCAGGAATTGAAGTGTGTTTTGGGCATTTTGATTTTAAGTGGGTACATCTCTTATCCAAGGAGAAGGATGTTCTGGGAAACCTCTCCTGATTCACATCATCATCTTGTAGCTGATGCAATTAGAAGGGACAGATTTGAACTAATCTTCTCATACCTACATTTTGCAGATAACAACGAACTTGATGCAAATGATAGGTTTGCCAAGGTCAGACCTCTCATCATCCGGATGAACTGCAATTTCCAGAAGCATGCACCCTTGGAAGAGTTCTACAGCTTTGGGGAGTCTATGTGTGAGTACTTTGGGCACCGGGGGTCCAAGCAGCTGCACACAGGGAAGCCTTTGCGATTTGGGTACAAGATTTGGTGTGGGACAACCAGCAGAGGCTACTTGGTTTGGTTTGAGCCCTCACAGGGCACACTTTTTACAAGGCCAGACAGGAGCTTGGATTTAGGAGGCAGTATGGTAATAAAATTTGTGGAAGCACTTCAGGAGCGTGGTTTTCTGCCATATCACATATTTTTTGACAAGGTTTTTACAAGTGTTAAACTGATGTCCATTTTGAGGAAAAAGGGGGTGAAGGCCACAGGAACTGTTCGTGAGTACAGGACTGAGCGATGTCCCCTAAAAGACCCCAAAGAACTAAAAAAAATGAAGAGGGGTTCATTTGATTACAAAGTTGATGAGAGTGAGGAGATCATCGTGTGCCGCTGGCACGATAGCAGCGTGGTCAACATTTGCTCCAATGCTGTGGGTATAGAGCCAGTGAGGATGACTAGTCGTCACTCTGGAGCAGCTAAAACGCGGACTCAGGTCCACCAACCATCGCTAGTGAAGCTGTATCAGGAGAAGGTGGGGGGTGTTGGTCGGATGGACCAGAATATTGCCAAGTACAAGGTGAAGATCCGAGGCATGAAGTGGTACTCAAGCTTCATTGGCTATGTCATTGATGCGGCCCTCAACAATGCATGGCAGCTACATAGGATCTGCTCCCAAGATGCCCAGGTGGACCTCCTTGCCTTCCGGAGATATATTGCCTGTGTGTATCTGGAGAGCAATGCTGACACGACCTCTCAAGGGAGGCGAAGCAGGCGGCTCGAGACTGAGAGCCGCTTTGATATGATTGGGCATTGGATTATCCACCAGGACAAGAGGACCCGATGTGCCCTCTGCCACTCACAGACCAATACCCGGTGTGAGAAGTGCCAGAAGGGTGTCCATGCCAAGTGCTTCAGGGAGTACCACATCCGGTGACATCGTGAGACATGCTTGTTTGGTTTATAATGAGATGTTTATGGCCCATTACAGATTGCAGTTGAGTACTTCTGTTCTGTGTTGGAAAAAAGACCTGAATTTCTGATGACTTGGTTTTCTATTTTCTCCCTACCCACAATACAGCTCACTTTTTTATTGTGTTCTATTATACCTACATGTGATATAAATTAATATTTATATTAATAATCCTAAATATTTGCATATCTTTATTTTTTAACATTTATTTAAAGTTAAGGACTTTTTTATTCAAATAAAAATTGTGCTTTGTAGTAGATTTGAATCCTGGCAAGAATTATCAAAGGAAAACTTGCAAGAACAGTGAAAAGACTTTACCATTGCATGCCTGGGTTTATAATCTAAGATAGGCAATAGTGTATAAATATCATGTAACTATGATGGATTTCTTAGTTATATTTATTTCGTCTTTATCCAAGGTTATCAAACTGTCCAGGAATAGAAAATCTGCCTTGTATTTAGTCAGAGGGCTAGCATTGTAGAGTTCATATTTTCTTGATAAAAATATTTTCCTAATACATCGATGTGGGATTCCTTTTTAAAAAAAATTTTTTTAATATTTTTGTGGATACATAGTAGGTGTGTATTTTTATGGGTTACATGAGATACTTTGATATAGGCAAGCAGTGTGTAAAAATCACATCAGGGTAAATGGGGTATCTGTCTTGTCAAACATTTTGTCCTTTGTGTTACAAACCGATTTTACTCTTAGTTATTTTAAAATGTACAATTAAATTATTTTTAACTATATTCACCCTGTTGTGCTAGCAAATACTAGGTCTTCCTCATTCTTTCCATTTTTTTCATACCCATTAACTATCCCCACTCTCCCCCACAGCCCAACTACCTTTTCCAAGCCCTGGTAACATTCTTTCTACTCTGTATGTCCATGAGTTCAATTGTTTTCATTTTTAGCTCCCACTAAAATGGGAGTTCATTCAGTTCAAATGAGTGAGAACATTTGAAGTTTGTCTTTTTGTGCTTGGCTTATTTACCACTTAATATAATGACCTCCAGTTCCATTTATGTTGTTGCAAATGACTGAATCTCATTTTTTTTGTGGCTAAATATTAATATTTCATTTTGTTTATGTATATTTTCTTTATCCATTCTATTGTGAATAGTGCGGAATATAAACATAGTTGTTCAGATCTTTCTTTGATATATTGATGTTTTTTCTTTTGGATATATACCTAGGAATGGGATTCCTGAATCATATGGTAGCTCTATTTTTAGTTTTTGAGGAACCTCCAAACTGGCCTCTGTAGAGCTTGTACTAATTACATTCCCACCAACGTTGTTTGAGAGTTCCCTTTTCTGTACATCCTTGCCAGCGTGTGTTATTGTCTGTCTTTGGATAAAAGCCATTTTTACTGGGTTGAGGTATCTCAATGTAGTTTTGACTTGCATTTTTCTGTTCATTAGTGATGTTGAGCACCTTTCGTATACCTGTTTGCTATTTGTACATTTCTTTTTTTGAGATGGAGTTCACCTTGTCACTCAAGCTGGAGTGCAGTGGTGTGTGATCTCGGCTCACTGCAACTACTGTCTCCTGGGCTCAAGTGATTCTTCACCTCAGCCTCCCAGGTGGCTGGTATTACAGGTGCCCACCACCACACCTGCCTAATTTTGTTATTTTTAGTAGAGATACCATGTTGGCTAGGCTGATATTGCACTCCTGACCTCAAGTGATTTGCTCACCTTGGCCTCCCAGTGTACATCTTTAGAGAGATGTCTATTTAGCTCTTTTTGCCCATTTTCAAATCAGATTATTAGATTTTTTTTTTTTTGCTGTAGAGTCATTTGAGTTTCTTATGTATTCTGGTTATTAATTTCTTGTCCAATGGATAGTTTGCAAATATTTTCTCCCATTCTGTGGATTATCCTTCACTTTGTTGATTGTTTTCTTTGCCTCACATAAGCTTTTTAACATAGTTTAATCCCATTTGTTCATTTTTGCTTTGGTTGTCTGTGGTTGTGGACTATTGCTAAAGAAGTCTTTGCCCACTCCAATGTTCTGGTCAGTTTCCCCAATGTTTTCTTGTAGTAGTTTTATAGTTTAAGGTATTAGATTTAAGATTTTAATCCATTTTGATTTGATTTTTGTGTATGGTGAGAGATAGGGGAGACCCTCGTTTCCATAATATATGTTCTTGTCACCTTTGTAAAAAATGAGGTCATTCTAGATGTATGGATTTATTTCTGGGTTCTCTGTTCTGTTGATTCTCTATTTGCTGTCTGTTTTATGCTACTACAATACCATTTTGGTTACAAGTGCTATGCAGTATAGTTTGAGGTCTGGTAATATAGTTTGAGGTCTGGTAGTATGATACCTCTGGTTTTCTTTTCTTTTTTTAGGATAGCTTTAGCTATTCTGGGTCTTTTGTGGTTCTATATAAATTTTAGGATTGTATTTTCTATTTCTGTGAAGAATGTCGTTGGTATTTGATAGGGAATGCATTCAATCTGTAGATAACTCTGGGTTGTATGGTCACTCTTCCAATTCTGCATGTGGAATATTTTTCCATTTTTTTTTTGGTGTCATCTTCAATTTCTTATATTGATGTTTTAAGGATTTTATTGTACATATCTTTCACTCTTTGATTAAGTTAATTTCTAGGTATTTATTTGTGGCTATTGTAAATGTGATTACTTTTTAAATCTCTTTTTTAGATTGCTCACTGTTGGCATATAGAAATGCCACTGATTTTCATATGTTGATATTGTATCCTGCAACTTTGCTAAATATGATTATCGGTTCTAATTTTTTTTATGGAGTCTAGGTTTTTCCAAATATAAGATTGTATCATCTGAAAGCAAGTATAATTTGACTTCTTTCCAATTTAGATGTCCTTTATTTCTTTTGTCTGATTGCTCTAGCTAGGACTTCCAATACCACATTGAATAACAGTGGTGAAAGTGGGCATCCTTTTTGTGTTCTAAATTTCAGAGCAAAGCCTTTCACTTTTTCCCCATTCAGTAAGATACTAGCAGTGGGGCTGTCATATATGGCTTTTACTGCTGAAGAGGTTTCTAAGAAAAGTGTTGAAGGAGTGGCTTTATTCATCCTGGCTGCTTATGGTAACATGTAAGAAAAAAGAACTGAAGATGAAATTTGCATGCAAAAAAGGAGTAGAAATTACAGATGGGAAAAATTCTCAGCCTATCCATATTACACAGAAAAAAACTTAGCATGTTTTCCAGTGTGATTGCACTGGTGCTAAACATACAATTAAATTTAGACAAAAAACAATTAGACAGCATGTTTGGAAGAGTGCAGTATGGTATGACAGGCTATTTGATAAGATTAGTGTGGGTGTAAATCATGGACCTGATCAGCCATCACAACAGAATAGAGCTTACACACCAGAAACACTGCCGCTGGAATTAAAGTAAACAGAGAAAATGGAATAAAATGAAGGAAGGCTGTTGGACTTCTTAGATTTTACAGGACAGGACCATAGAGTAACTAAGCTACAAACATGCTATTCAAGACAGGAAGAATGACCCTGTAGGTGATTAGTACATCATCAGGGCTGTCTCCTTGGTTTCAAGAAAGCCTCTGTTTAGAGTTCACCTTAGTTACAGGACTTGTTTATAGGATAAAAAAAGATTATGCGATTTGTGATAAAGGATTAATTTTCTAAATTACCATATTTTTCAGGAACAAATATTATCTTTAAAGCAAAATTAGGAATGCTTCTGTTACCAAGTTACGGGGATATGAGGACACTCCTAGGTCTGGGTCTGCTTAGTAAATGTTATTAATCTGTTCCCTTAACCATAAACGTCTGGAGGATAGAAATGCCTAACTTTCTGGGAATGCAGTCCAATGAGTCCCTGCCTCATTTTTCGTAGCCCTCAAGATGAAGTTATTCTGGTTCAAATGCTCTGACAATGAGACATCCACCAATATCTGTAAGATGTACATTGGTTCAATCCAGAAAAGTGGGACAAGTGGAGGTGAAAGGTAGACAAGTCAGAGCAGAGAGAGGGTTTCCAGGCCATATTTAGGTAAGAGACAAATTGTTACGTTATTTCGAGTTGATGATGAGCCTCTCGAAATGAGACAATCAGATATGCATTTATCTCAGTGAGCAGAGGGGTGACTTTGAATGGTATGAGAGGCAGTTTTGCCTTAAGCAGTTCCCAGCTTGGCCTTTCTCTTTAGCTTAGTGATTTGGGGACCCCAAGATTTATTTTCCTTTCACATTTTCCCCCTTTTCTTTTTTAAAATCTTACGGAGAAAGCATTTTAGGAAAAAATGAGTCTCTGGTCTCAGGTTTTCTCTGATCTCTTATGACTAGGATGGTTTATTCTAGACAGGTAGGTCCAACATTATTAGGAAAGTTCATTTTTGGCAGGTTGCAGTCTCATGTCCTATGAAGATAAAATAGGGACAGTAAGGGAGAACAATAACAGACAAAAGAACCATCATGGAAAATCAATACAGGCTACATTGCTCTGAAGTTCATACATCAGTAGGCAGGTATGAAAGTGGCTTATGTATGTAAATAGGTTGCTGTTATTTTCTTCTGAAGTTTAAATTGTCTAGCTTCAGTTTGCAGGGCTTTACCAAAGCACAGCTGAGTTTTTTTGATCCAAATTAGGAAAAATTTGGAAAAAAGAAAAAAATTGAACACAGTATCTTGCAGGCTTGTAGCCATGAAAAATCAGAATTCAGTTAAAACTGTAGAAAATAGTAAAAATTGGAAAACATTAGGCAAGAGTAGAATTCAACAACAGGTGTACTATAGTTTTTCAAACATAATTTTTCTCTCTCCAGTTTCCCAGTTTTACTAAAGACAAATCATGGTAGGATTGATTTGCTTTATTATACTTGGCCTGATTATTTGTATACAGCACAGCAAGGATAATTATTCTTTTAACATAGGCTTTCAAGTTAGTTTTGATGGAACCTTGTTCCGTAGAAGGAATGTCAGATAAGACTTTTTTAAAGCCCAGCCCAGCCATGGATTGTACCATCAAATACCTACGAGCTGGGTAAATTCCTCTCCTCTTCA